CCTCCCCAGGGCGTAGCGCCGGGAACCGGGCGGCGCCACGTAAATAACCGTCCCCCTCCCTCCTCCACTGCGGGGCAACGGGGCCTGTACAGGCCCCGCGGAGGAGACGGAGACAACACCCCGCGCGACTGGCCTACCCTGCCCGGCGCGCGCACGGGACCCGTGAGGAGACCCGCGCTCCACAGCAGCACGCGCCAGCTCCGCCAAGCCCAGAGCCCGCGCAGGCGCAAAGCGAAAGCAGGCTTGAGGCGCTGAAGGGGAGGGGGCGGGGTTATGAGAAAGGGGCGGTGCCGCGTCGGGACGCGGTAGAGCCATAGGGCTGGGATCAGGGTCTGGCTGTTACGCTGTTCCCTCTGGTTTCCCCCCCTCCCTGTACAGAATACATGTTCTTATGTGCACCACCAGTACAAACACCTGCTGCGGGCCCTCTACCAAGCAGCTGGGTGGTTTGAATCTGTCCTAGGGTTGCCAGATGGTTTCAACAAAAATAGCAGATACACTTGACATTACATCACAATCTGCATTACATCTTATTTAGGAACTACCGGACATTTCTATTTTCTCAATTTGTTTCCTGAACAGAAAGCTCAAATACTGGACTGTCTGGTTCAAAACTAGACACCTGGCAACCCTAATCCAGTACCTGGGGCAGATATAGGATAGGTAAATTCAAACCCCAGGCAGAGAGAAGCATGGAGCAAAGAATAGGGCCTATGCAACAACTGGGATGACCACAAGAGAGAGTTATTTATTGCCACATCTTAGCCTGAGGCAGTTCCTTGCCTTTGAAACTATATTTCAGTCTTTGCCTGACAGTCCCAATGACATTTTTTGCAGCAGATGACAGTTCCCCTACAGTTAAAGTCATAGAAGACTAGGGTTGGAAGAGAGCACCGGAGATCAGACCAACCCTCACTTAAAGCTGGACCAACCAAGACTTTGTCAAGCCTGGCCTTAAAAACTGCTCTTCCCCCATTCCAGGACTTCACTAGCCACCTCATGAAGTAGTTTTTTCTAACATCCACTCTAGACCAACCACAGTGCAACTAGAGACCATTGTTACTTGTTCTGTTATCTGCCATCAATGAGAATAACCCAGGTCTTTGGCACCTCTTTTCCCCCCCCCCCCCCCCAGCTCTTCTCTTCTGTTGACTAAATAAGCCCACTTCCTTCAGCCTCTTCTCTTAAGTCATATGCCCCAATCCTCTAATCATTTTTGTTGCCCTCTGCAGGACTCTCTCCAATTTGTCCACATCCTTTCTGTAGTGAGGGCCTAAAACTGCAGACAATACTTAAGATGTGGCCTCCCCTGTGCCAAATAGAGGGGAATAATTCATTCCCTCTGTCCCTGCTGCTGGCAATGCTGCTAGTAATGCCATTAGTCTTCTTGGCAACAATGACACAATGTTAACTCATAACCAGCTGTGGAAGACCATTATCAAAATCTTTGCTAAAAATCAAGGTTTATCACATCCATCGCTTTCCCCAAATCCACAAAGCTAGTTAGCTCACCATAGAAGGCAATAGGTTGGTCAGGCATGACCTTTCCCTTGGTGAATCCATGTTGACTATTCCCAATGCCCTTCCTCTCCTTCAAGTGTTTCAAAACAGATTCCTTGTGGAAGCCCTGCTTCATGATTTTTCCAGGAATTGAGCTGTGGCTGACTGGTCTGTAGCTCCCCATATCCTCCTCTTCCTCCCCCTTTTCAAAGATGGGCACTAGATTTGCCTTTTTCCAATTGTCTGAGACCTCCCCTAATCACCACAAGTTTTCTAAGACAATGGCAAATGGCTCTGAAATCACATCAGCCAATTCTCTCAGGGTGTGTCTAGACTACATGCCTCCTTCGACGGAGGCATGTAGATTAGCCAGAAGCTCCCCATATCCTCCTCTTCCTCCCCCTTTTCAAAGATGGGCACTAGATTTGCCTTTTTCCAATTGTCTGAGACCTCCCCTAATCACCACAAGTTTTCTAAGACAATGGCAAATGGCTCTGAAATCACATCAGCCAATTCTCTCAGGGTGTGTCTAGACTACATGCCTCCTTCGACGGAGGCATGTAGATTAGCCAGATCGGAAGAGGGAAATGAAGCCGCGATTAAAATAATCGCGGCTTCATTTAAATTTAAATGGCTGGGGCCCGCCCC